ATTCTGTGTTTTTCTGTCAATATGGGGTGCTGTGTGTACATTAATGAGGAAAAAAATGAACTTAAATGATTTTAACATATGGCTGCAATATAACAAAGAGTGAAAAATTTAAGGGGGTCTGAATACTTTCCGTACCCACTGTATATACATACATCTATCACTACGGCTATCCCATCTATCAGATAGATGGATAGATGTGTGATATATAAAGATGCCCCTGAGACAATCCAGCACATAACAGCTATATATGTATATAAAGTACCTTATTTTTGTTTAAGCCTTGTGTTCTGTTAAGAATCTTAATATTTTCCTAATGCACATTCCTTTTTCTTGTTTGCACATTCTTGTCTACTCATTGCCTTACAGAAGAACATTGTACGTGCACACTGAGAGCTGCTGTACTGGAGTCAGATTGCTCGTGTTTTCAACACACCTGGCCAAACAAGCTGATTGATTGTTTACTCTAAAGCGGAATTTTGTTTAAATGTTTTTAAATAACGTCTTTGTTTTGTGTTTTCAAACAGGAAGCTCTGCGTAGGATTATCAGCACATTAGCCAGTAAAAATGAAGATCTCCAAAGCTTCCTGGAAACACTCAACACCACATTGACAGGACTGCAGGTCAGAAGCTGATTGGGGAAAGAGAGCAGAGCAAGGGGCTTAGGTAGGGCTGAGCAATAGGGACGTTCAAGATGAGCCAGATTTGTGCAGAATCACTGTAAAGTGCAGCTGGTTAGTTTTCTGTCCAACTTGATCCCACCTTGCTTCGACGTAACGCCTCCATATACAGTGAGGAACAGAAGTATTTGAACACCCTGCGATTTTGCAAGTTCTCCCACTTAGAAATCATGGAGGGGTCTGAAATTCACATTGTAGGGGCATTCCCACTCTGAGAGACAGAATAAAAATAAAAAAAATTCTGGAAATCACGTATGATTTTTAAAGAATTTATTTGTCTTGCACTGCTGAACATAAGTATTTGAACACCTGAGAAAATCAGTGTTAATATTTGGTACAGAAACCTTTGTTTGCAATTACAGAGGTCAAACGTTTCCTGTAGTTCTTGACCAGGTTTGCACACACTGCAACAGGGATTTTGGCCCACTCCTCCACACAGATCTCCTCTAGATCTGTCAGGTTTCGGGGCTGTCGCTGAGCAACGCGGAGTTTGAGCTCCCTCCAAAGATGTTCTATTGGACTGAGGTCTGGAGACTGGCTAGGCCACTCCAGAACCTTGATATGCTTCTTACGGAGCCACTCCTTGGTTATCCTAGCTGTGTGCTTCGGGGCGTTGTCATGTTGGAAGACCCAGCCACAACCCATCTTCAATGCTCTGACTGAAGGAAGGAGGTTGTTGTTCAAAATCTCACAATAAATGGCCCCACTTATCCTCTCCTTAATACAGTGCAGACGTCCTGTCCCCTTCACAGAAAAGCACCCCCAAAGCATGACGTTACCA